ATACTCTTCATCTCAGATAATGTATTCTTCATTTCTGACTGATTCCCTTTTATAATTTCCATTTCTATTTTTATGTTTTTTATCTCTTTGTAAAATTTCTCACTGAGTTAAACTACTCTTCCCCTAAATTCAGTGAACATCTTTATAACCAGTGTTTTGAAATTTGCATCTGTTAGATTGCTTGACTCCATTATTCCTGTATCTCTGCTCTATTCTTTCATATGGTTTCTGCTTCTTTGTCTTCCCATTTTGACTGCCTTTCTGTGTCTGTTTCTATATACTAAGCAAAGCTCCTAAGTCTCCCATTCTTATTAGCACAGCTTTGCGTAGTATGTGTCCTGTGGCATAGTCCTGAGAAAGTTTCAGCTGCAAGCTAAGTTTAGGGCAACCTGTTAAGATTCAGCAAGCAATCCATGGATTGTGTGTATAGTTGCCTCAAGAAACCGCACCGGAAACTGAGGCCAGCTTCCAGCAGTGTGAATCTTGACTCTGTTCAGCAAGGAACAGCAGACTCACCAAGAACACAACTGGATATTGCTTGGGTGGGGCTGCGAGTTGGGAGAGGAGGGGTTTCAAGGAATTCTCTGGATGAAGCAACCTCTGTTATCCAGTTTCATGACGTCTCAGCTATGGCAGAGCCTGCGTTCACACACTGGGATCAGGGAGGGTTCAAGAGAGGAACAACGGATACCGCTGGTACTTCTGTCCAGGAAAGAGCCTTGCCTCTGGCCCTCGCTCTGACAACTCAATGTCCCCCTGTAAGTCCCTGGTAACTCCCCATCCCCATCCCAAACCCTCCATGCAGCTGACCCGGTGCTGGTGCTCAGAGTGAGCAGGTCTGTCACTGAGTAATTCTGCTTACAGATACGGCATCTTTCAGAGATGTCTGCAGCTGGACAGAGCAGCCTCACGTCTTCATCCTCTCCTACCTTCTACCATTGCAGGTTGATTTCTTATTTTTCTCCCTAGTTGTAATGCTTCTGTTCATCTAGATTCTATTCATCGATCTCAGGTGACTTTCCTTGCTGTTTGCTCTGTGTTTCTGTCACAACTTTGATTTGGTCGCAAGAGGGATAAACAAAGTCTCTATTATCTATGCCGCTTTTTTCCTCCTCTCAATTGTACACTTTAATTGTATATTTTAAAATGTTAAATGCTGTGTTATGTGCATTATAGCTCAGTAAAATATAATTGAACACTTGTATTTTTAAGTTTTCATGTTATTCTCTTAAACATCTTTCTTTATCAATATATATTAAGCTTCTCTGTTTGTTTGAACAGCTCTGCTTTTCTGTTTTGAATTTTAGTGGGCATTAATGCTAGTGGTAGACATTTTGGTTTTCACTAGGTCTTTCTTCCTCATTACACATAGTGCTCATTCTTGTGTCCCAGTGAAAAAGTGGCATAGATTTAGTGTGGCATTGCATGGTCAGTGTGTCTGTCTTGTGGTACTAACGGAGATCACCTGTTCTTCTCTCACTCCAGGTGCCTTCAGGACAATGAGTGGAACTACACCAGAGCTGGTCAGGTCTTCACTGTGCTCAAGGTGAGGTCTGGGTATCAAGTGTGTTAAAGTGTTTCTGGGCCTTTAGCAAGGCCAAGAATGTGGAGGCTGGTGCCCTGGGAATGAAACCCAGGGAGCTGGCTCTACTGACATCCTGACTCCTCCCCTCCAGAGCAAGGGCATGATCCCAGAGGAGGCCTTCAAACAAAACCCCTAAAGAGAGCCCTTGGATGTCATCTTTGTCTTCATCCACATCGTTCTGATTTCTCTTTTCTCCAGCCTATGACTAGGGTTGGAGGCCTGGCTGATCAAGAAGCCAAAGTTAACTAACCACCTGAAGGGTCAGTTTTTTTTTTTTTTTATTTTCTTCACTCATGATCACTGTTTATTCTCATAATAAAAAGTAATGTTTCACATTGTATGTTGTGTGTCTTGCATTGTTCTTTCCCTGCCCAACCGTGAGCTAATGGGTCCAGGACTGAAAGGCCCTGACATCTCCACCTCTAACTCCCCCATTTACCCTTGCAGTCCCTAGCAGATACATCAGAGTCAACTCCATAGGTAGTTGCCAATAAATCCTGATGAGAAGAGACACACACTGTTTTCAGGGATTGACCTTTGGAGACAGTGTGACTCAGCCTGATGCTCTACCTGGCGGCCCATAGAAGCAGGCTTGGGATCTGGCACAAAGGGGCTTTGCCAGGGATGCCTACTGGCTAGTGAGTGCTATAGAAGAAAGGAAGATGAGGACTCAACATATTTTACTTCTTCCTAATCATTTCAATGTTTTCAAATGATGTGCTGTGAACAAGTGTATGATATGCACACAGGTGAGTAGGAAATAGACCTTTTTCACACCTCTCACCATGCTTGCATTCATCTTCTCATCCATCAACACTTTACAGCCCCCTCCAAATTTCTGAAGGTGCACTGTGGGTGGGATCTCGCTTTAGCACCTGAGAATGATGGAGAGTCAGCCTGTCTTCCCAGGGCATTTCTCAGAAAGCTGACACTGGGTGCTCCATGTCTATGTGCTTGAGGGAGTTCAGCCATTTATTTGCACTTCCAAACAAACAACAATAGCATGGAATCTCATATTACGGTCAGTTCTATGGGACCTGTCTCATTGACCAATTAGCGGTTCAAAATTGCAGCCAAGAGTTGAAAGGAAATTCAGGGACCTTGGACTTAAAGAGGACTTTATGAATTTGACCTCAAAGTAAGGGAAGTAAAAACTAAAATAAATGAATGGGACTGCATCAAACTAAAAAGCTCCTGCTCAGCAAAAGAATCCATCAATAAGGTAAAGAGGCAACCATCTGAATAGGAAAATATATTTGCAAGCAATGCCTCCAATAAGGACCTAATATTCAAAACACACAAAGAACTCATACAACTCAATAACAACAACAAAATAATCCAATTAAAAATGGGCAGAGGACGTGAACAGGCACTTCTTCCAAGAAGACATACAAATGGCCAACAAACATACGTACAGACGCTTATTATCGCTAGCTATTAGGAAAAGCAAATAAAAACCACAATGAGATACCATCTCA